CAGAGTACCAGATATGTATGTACCTTCATTACACTATCTGTTGCTGATGAAAGGGAACCACAACCCTTTGATGAGGCCCTATAGTTGGAAGATACAACCAAGTAGGAGCAAGCCATGGATGATGGGACGTCTAGGCTTCAAAAAATGCATTGTACTGAGATTGAGTATGTGGCAATAGTAGAAGCTGGAAAGAAGATGATATGGACGACAAACTATCTAGAAGAATTAGGCAGGAAGCAGTGCAAGAAGATCCTTCATACAGATAGTCAGAGTGTCATACAGTTGGTGAAAAACTCAGTCTATCATTCAAGGACAAAACACATTAGAAGACGATACCATTTCACCGCAGGTTAGTGGAAGAAGGCGATATGTGTTTGGAGAAGATAGAGGGTGCAAATAATCCCACAGACATGTTGACAAAATGTGTTGATGTTGGAAAATTAAGGTTATGCAAAGCCTTAATTGGTATGGTGTAGGATCAGTCTCCAAGTGGGAGAATTGTTAGGTTATGGAGTATGCTCCTTGTATTTATATATAGCTTGGTCAACGACTATATCCGGTAAAGCTATATTTGGTAAAACTATATATGGTAAATAACTATATATAGTAGATGGTTAAATCTGGTAAAGCTATATATAGTAAACTGAACCATATATATATCCCGTCCGGTAGAGCTTTGAAAATGTACTTTCTATTCTCTGTAAATCTCTCTTACTGTACATACGTGAAGTCATCAATAAAAAAATCCTTTTAGCCAGAGTTCTCCTTGCACTTTTCTCTGTCCTATTCTTTGTGTTCATCTAGATCGAGCGTGTGCATTGTTGTGCGATCCTAACACAATATTGCTCATCAAAATAAGAACTCGTTTGGGGTTCATAGCCTTGACTTTATTCAATGCCATAGCCCCATCTTGCGCTACTCCGAAGCCATTGTCTTTAATCCCAATGGGTCCATCAGCAACACCACCTAACGAAGCGAGCCCAAGTGAGAGTTTGTCACAGTGGAACCTTATAACACTACTGAACTCGTTTAGAAATCTCCTTAGTCTCGAGCCACCTTTTGAACTCAAGCTCAACAAAACTCCATGCCTAAATTGTCCTTTTGGCAAAATGATAGTCCTCAAACCGGTTCAAGTTAGAACACCTATTAGAAATCAAGTTAAGAAACTTCCAACTAAACTCAAAATAACCCAATTGAGAAACAAAATCGAAAATAGAGCCATTTTCTTGGACTATGGCCGATGGATTACGCATGTTTTTGCAGCTAAGTGAAATTCATAGATATCAACGAGAAGAGTGTTCTGTAAAATAAAAATTGAAAGAATCCCACACAAAAGGCAGGTGAAAGATTTGCAAGAGAGTATGTCATAGATATCAAAAATTTGCAAGAATTAGATTGAAGAAATTAAAAGAAGGATGTTGAAGTTCATTGAGAGGGACCTTCTGCCTCTACTTCGCAGCCACAAGTAGAAGGTGGAGCGAAATGTGGCGCTTGTGGATGCATCCTTTGATAGCGCCAAGTTTATGCCCTTTCTATGCTAGACATCAAAATGGCGCCTAGTTTTTGCAGCTCTGCACTCCGCAATTTCGTATATTCCATTGGAATGGAAATTGATACTTAAACATTATCGGATGAGGGCTACGAAACTAACTATAGTCGCCAAGTCCACCGCTCAATGCACATTGCCATTCTCTTTCAGAAATCAACAGAACGAAAGAACTTTTTGCGGCATTCTTAATTTCTCCTTACACCCCCATAAACTACATGACTCAGTGACTGTGGTCAGTCTTGGCCACCTCGTAACTGCATCAATTTTAGCGAAATTTACTGTGATCTTTCTGCTTGACTCCACATGACCTCAATTGTCATCTCAAACAGCCAAAATTTGCTCTTGGGGAACTTAACGTACAATTGGCGTGTTCATAAAATCATCATAACTTTTCCCTGAGTGTTCCTTGTCAACTCCATCTTGGTGTACAACGACACGTTATCATTGAAGTCGTCTTTGACGATAACAAGAAAATCCCTTAAACATTCGATTAGTCTAAACCTAAACCTTAGCAAGACATTGATTAGGTCGAAAGACTTATCAATAACCTTTCCTTCCTCGTGATTGCTCCTAGTAGTTGTCTTCGATATATCTCTCTCCTTGATCCTCATAATAGGTATCCTAAACTTGTCGAGACCCTTACAATCCTTACTACTTCACCAAGAATGGTCTTGTAGCTACATCCCAATTGGCCAACATAGGTCTTTCTCAGAACGAGATAACTTGTCATGTAGCTCGCCTGAGTACTAATACTCATCTGAGCTAAATGCAGGCTCTTTTGAAAGTAAAGGTTCCTTGTATAAGTCCTCTATATTCACTTAGGCCAACTTCTGTAGTGTCTTATGGTTGATCAAGCACATTTCCTTTCATAGTGATATCTTATATTGGCTCGTGTGTGTGCATCTCTCAAGTTCTTATAAAGGATCCTAAGAAACTCTCTAAAAACTCTTTTGGTAACTAGTCTTCCTCGAGCTCTGAGGATACTTTTATCTATGTCCAAGGTTTACCCTAAGACACATTATGTCTTCTGCTTCCCTTACTAGTGTACTATCACCATCTCACTACTCTTCAGGTAGTTTCCAAACTCACGTTATCTAGCTTCTCTACTTCTTTCTGAGCATGCTTCACAAGTATGGTGTTACACTCATGTGTGAAAATAGAGTTCTACTCTTTGTAATCCAGATAACCTAATCAAGGGTTGGTTCTTACTAACATGCATCTGAACTTTCTCCCTCCAGACGATAAAGGCACGGTCATAGCTTGACTGCTTTTTCCTGCTGTTCTCGACCCTAAGGTTCACTGGACTACCTTAACAGTTTTCACGTTTGTAAGCATGCTTGTTCTGACCTAAGAATAGATTAGAACACGTTTATATGATCTTGATAACCACGTGCTGCTATTGGACTCGATCCTCTACACCAAGGTCCAAAATGACTTGTCATCCATTAGGTGATCCATCAATAGGAATATCCTACACCCCATATCTCATTAGTGGCATAAAGGGCACATCACACTTTTGGAAGTCCATAAACTTGAACTTAGCTCGTGAAGACTCCAACCAAACCTTGAAGTCATGACTTCCATCGCTTCATTCTCATTATTGGTGGATTTTATCTCGCAACTTCCCAACTTAACCAAAACTCAGTTGAGGTAATGGTTTGCTTGAGGGGTGTTTAATTCCTATAGTGATTGTCTTTGGTTGTATGAACAATATTGCTTGGGTCTACTTATGTGGTTTGTACCAAGGCATTCTCTATACTGTCTAGGCCTGCTACGTTTTCTCCACGGAGGCATGCTTGCCATCTAGAATTATGGTCATAGGAGGCTAGGTCCAAGGTATTTCACCTCGTACTAGGCCTTAGAAAGTCTCATGTACATCTTTGGACGTCTCGCACTTTGCGGCGTCACCTCTCTATCTTCCTAAGGCTAGTAAGCTATAAAATGACCTCTCTCGACCTCCTCACAATAACTCGCATCTAGCATCGACGTATAGAGTGATCATTCATTATTTATCGTCCTTAGGCATAATCATAGTTACCACGTAACCCAAGACAAACATAATATTCACATGCTTTACATCATATCATAACCTACTAAATAGGGTTAGACTGAATACCTAGTCGCGGCGAGGCGTGTCGTCGAGCTGAGTCACAGAGGTGTACGACTCTCTATCCTAAAAGTAAAGTCTATAGAATCTAAAACCTGACTACTCTGATACCAATCTGTCACGACCTGATTTTCGAGGCTTCGATAAATCGGATCGTGACTAAAAAGACGAAAGCGAAAATAAATGAAATTAAAAAGAAGATAAAATAGGAGATGAAAATTTGAAAAAATTTAAAACAAGAAAAAGGAGTCAATGACACCAAAATTAAATATAAAATTAAAATCAAATATTTCGAACTGGAAATACAATTATGAAGAAAATACAAAAGACTAAAAAAATGGACAAAGGACTCTAAAAGACCGACAAGGGACTGACGCTCCGGAACGAAACCCCTCTGTGACAGTGCATCTCTCAAGCACCTCCCCATATCGACTGGTACCTGAAAAAAAAAACAAAAAGGGAGAAAGGAGTGAGTATAAAAATATACTCAGTAAGCAACCTACTTGTAGGCTCTTTTCGCATCCTTATCTTAGTAGGTATCCACGGTCTTATCTCTAGGTTCTAGTGAGTACGAATCATGCTACAAAAACAGATTTTTGCAGTTTCCATACTAATATGGTAGGTCCGGCTAGCTAAGTTTATAGGTGGTAGCATGCATGCTTGTTCCTAGTGGTTTCTACAAGTACTGCTCGTGGGAATCCAGATGGCTACTTATTTGGTTGACGCATGCCTTTCCAACCTCGAATTTATTTGCCGGAAAAGGTTCCAAAAATTCTGAAATTTCCTTGATAGGTTCTAATTCACATAAAAATAGGATCAGAGTTGAAATCGGGGCAAAAAACAAGCAAACAGAGGCCAAACGGGTGAGAGAATAGGGCCCCACACGCCGTGCACGCGCCGGCACACACCCACACACGCAGCCTCCATGCGCATGGCACACGCGCGGGCAGTGCCGCATTTCGAACCCCAGCGGCTGCGGACTTACCTTCAAATTTTCTGAGCGCGACACGAGGAGCACAGTGTTTGGCAGGAAACGTCAGGTTGGACTGCTGGTTTCCAGACTGGTTCGACGGGCGTACGGGTCAACCCGACTCAGCGCACTAGTGGAACGCTGCCACGTGACGCACGTCAGCTCTGCCGCGCTCTTCCGTTTACTGAACGACGCGTGGCGGTCTCTTTCTCTCTCTTGCTGTGTTTCAAATTTCCAGATGTTAGCATTTTTGCGTTTTCGATCTATTGTCTTCGAAGTTTCTTATCTTTCAAATCCGTAATCCATATCAACAAAGTTTCTTCACGAAAATTGTAGATCTCATATTTTACTTCTACAATATATTTTTCCTTTACTTTTTCCTTGAACACAGGATGAGTTAAGGCCGTCCAAAGATACGAAAAAACTCACATTTTCTGTTTTCGATCAGTTTACCCGAAGTCCAACTAAACTCTGATTTTCGTCTGATTCTCGTCCAGGAACTTCAAGAAACCTGTGTGAATCTTATTTTAGTTACATACTTCAAAAACTCCAGATCTAACCTTCAAGAAACTCCTCAGATCTAGATAAAATCGAAACAAGAAGTTCGGAACCTTACTTTGTCCGTTCTCAGATTTTCTTGTCGGAATGAGTGATTCCACCACCCAAACTCCTTTTCCAGCACCGAGAGAAGTATTGCTTCGAAGTTTCTTGCCTTGGATTCAATCTGCAATGGTGGTTTGTCTTCTCTGTTCTTCCTTTCTCCCTAACCCTAACTTCTTCTCCTTTCTCCTTTCTCCTTTCTCCTTTCTCTCTCTCTCTCTCTCTCTTTCTTTTTTTTTTTCTTATCTTTCTCTTTCTTCTTGGAGCCCAAACAACTAGACCCCTTAGGTAAGGGAGGGGCAAAATGACCCTTTTCCTCCTATGTTGTTATTTTTATTTCTTATTTATTTATCTAAAAATTTGGGTATTTCATGAATAGGCAATGAATGATGAAGATAGAGACTAGTGGATCAAAGCCATGAATCTTGAAATGGAGTCAATGTACTTCAATTCAATCTGGAAACTTGTAGATCAACTAGATGGGGTAAAACCTATTGGTTGCAAATGGATCTACAAGAGGAAACGAGACCAAACCGGTATGGTCCAGACCTTTAAAGCTCAACTTGTAGCAAAGGGTTATACTCAAAGAAAGGGGGTGGACTATGAAGAAACCTTCTCTCCTGTTGCTATGCTTAAATTGATTAGAATACTCTTGTCCATTGCCACATTTCATGATTATGAAATTTGGCAAATGGATGTTAAGACAATCATTCTAAATGGCAATCTTGAAGAGAGTATCTATATGGCTTAAGCAGAGGGGTTCATTGAATCGGATCACGAGCAAAGGGTTTGCAAGATTAAAAGATCCATTTATGGGTTGAAGCAAGCATCTCGATCCTAGAATATAAAGTTTGATACTGCGATCAAATCTTATGGCTTTAAATAGAATGTTGACGAACCTTGTTTTTATAAAATGATAGTCAACTCTACAGTAGCTTTCCTGGTGTTGTATGTTGACGATATCCTACTCATTGGGAATGATGTGGGATTTCTGACTGACATTAAGCATTGGCTAGCGACACAATTCCAAATGAAAGATTTGGGAGAGACTCAGTTTGTTCTTGGAATCCAAATTGTTCGGAATCGCAAGAACAAAACAGTAGCATTCTCTCAGGCATCGTACATCGAAAATATATTGATATGATATAAGATGCAGGACTCCAAGAATGGATTATTACCTTTCAAGCACGAAGTTCATTTGTCGAAGGAACAAAGTCCTAAGACACCGCAAGAAGTTGAGGATATGAGACACATTCCCTATGCGTCAACAGTCAGTAGTCTGATGTATGTCATTCTATGTTCCCGACCCGACATATGCTATGCTGTGGGAATTGTCAGCAGATATCAGTCCAATCCGGGACGTGATCATTGGATGGCCATTAAGAATATTCTCAAGTATCTTAGGAGAACGAGAGACTATATGCTAATGTACGATGCTAAGGATCTGATCCTTACAGGGTACACTGACTCATATTTTCAAACCGATGTAGATTCGAGGAAATTGACATCAGGATCTGTCTTCACTCTAAACGGAGGAGCAATAATATGAAGAAGCATAAAGCAAGGTCGCATTGCTGATTCCACAATGGAGGCTGAGTATGTTGCTACTTGTGAAGCAACAAAAGAATCTGTATGGCTTAGGAAGTTCTTAACTTATTTGGAAGTCGTTTCAAATATGCATCTTCCCGTCACTCTTTATTGTGATAACAGTGGAGCAGTTGCAAATTCAAAAAAACCAAGAAGCCATAAGTGAGGAAAGTATATTGAGCGCAAATATCATCTCATAAGGGAGATTGTGCAACGAGGAGATGTGATCGTCATACAGATAGCTTCATAGCACAACATTGTTGATCCATTTACAAAGCCCCTCACGGCTAAAGTGTTTGAAGGGCACCTAGTGAGTCTAGGACTACGAATTATGTAATCTAGGGCAAGTGGGAGAAAAGAAATGAGTATGTTATGCCCTAGCTTATTATATCTATGTCTTTCTCTCTATTCAACGTTATAAAACCCCACAAGAGTTTTAGTCCAAGTGGGAGTTCGTTAGGTTTTATGTCCTAAAAATCATAGTTTGTAAACAAAAACATATTCTATGGGGCGTCCTATGCAATGAGTATTGCATAAGATCAGACCATGAAGAAAATCACTCTCACTTTATAATGCGAGTAAATTGGTATCTCACAACACGTCCTCGTTGACTGGTTGACCCGTAATTCTTGCCACGTTGTGATACATTTCAACTTTTCGCTAATACGCTTCTCTCTCGTCTCCAGCAGCTGTGTATCCACGATCGATTCTGATGGTGTTAATATAATAGACGCGGAAGCAATTTGGATCTTAGGCACTTTTAGAACATCATTAACCGGTTAAACTCATTAACCTTATTAATCAACAACACTCGTTAACTACTAGGACACTCCACTATAGCCTAGTAGTTGCACTCCCCTCACTATAGATATATTTCTATCCATTTGATATAGCCATGATTAGTAAGTCGATCCTTCACAGGTTGTTCGTAGATAAAGTTGGGTCAATTAGCCGTTTTACCCCTGAAGTTGCTTCTTGTTCCTTATGTCCCACTGATCCTCTTATGAACAATTGGTTTGTGGTCCAACCAGTAAACCGAATCCCTCTCAGGCCAATGAGTGGGTGGGGCCCCTTGTTCAAGACCTGGAGTCAGTACTTAAGGGAACTACCTATCTTCTATCCCTAAAAGTGGGTAGGAGCGAATTCCATCTTGCACTCCACGTCCCCAGCTATTCACCCAGTCTTACCCCTGAAATGGGAGGCCAATTGAGTCGGCAAACTCGAGCCACTCTCATCTATGCATATCTAAGGATAATTCTGAATAAACAGGAGTTCATGGTTAGCTCAGAATTAAGATCGAGTTATGATATGAACCAAGAGACATCATTCATACAATATACTTCAATGAAGATGTGAAGAAAATGTTGTCAAAATTATCAAAAGAGGTTGCAATTCAAGCAACATTAAAGAGGAATGAAGTTTGATGGTTATAAATTTTGGGTGGGTTAGAATTTAGAGTAATTTAGAGTTATTGTATTTTAAGACATTTTATGTACTTTAGGTTACATTTACATAATGGCTAATTATGGTCATTAAGTATGAATGATACAACTTTTGGAATGCCTTTAAATAAAATGTCTTAAAATACAATAACTCTAAATTACTCTAAATTCTAACCCACCCAAAATTTATAACCATCAAACTTCATTCCTCTTTAATGTTGCTTGAATTGCAACCTCTTTTGATAATTTTGACAACATTTTCTTCACATCTTCATTGAAGTATATTGTATGAATGATGTCTCTTGGTTCATATCAAGTTACCTAGGTCATCGAATGAAAAGAAAATTAGTCTCAACAGTAAACGACATTATAAAGTAAGAGTGATTTTCTTCATGGTCCAATCTTATGCAATACTCATTGCATAGGACGCCCCCACTTACATGTCTCTACATGTACAATTTAGTGATCACATTGTTTATATCATATACAAAAGTGGGTTGCGTCCATAGTGTCCCCATAATAAGGTACTCAGCCTTATCCTTATACTATAGATCATTTTGACTATATACTTGAACTTGATCCACTCTTATGTCTCTACATATAGTTCAAGTAATCATACTATAGCTAGAGTGTTCTTAGTTTATTGGATTTAGATTAATGATCGTAAAATTCACTTTATTCAATAACAATTTTTACTGAATAAACAACAATAATAACTTTATTGAAAATAGAATATGTTTTTGTTTACAAACTATGAGTTTTAGGACATAAAACTCAACAGGTTCTTCCAACGTTCAATTTTTCTAGATTTTGCTGAGCGATGCATTTCAATCTAATTTTTTGGATTGTTTTTTATCTTCCATCGTTCACTAGAAATGACTTGGTTTCTTCATGAAAAATTAAGATATCGAATCAACCAATTCGATGCCATTTTTTTTTTTTAATTCTTAGGAAAATAAAGACCATAATAATTGAGTTCAAATTTTGGAAAAAATGTATTTTTTTATTGAAATGATAAATCTCTCGAATCTAATTCTGAAACAAATCATGGTCAAGTTTACACACGAAACTTGTAAGATTCCTTTCCTGGAACATCGTAGTCAAATCGAACGATCCTACAACCAAAACTGACACTCATCGATCCTCTTACTAGACTAGAGATCCCATAAATATTGATATGTGGTTCTGTAACGATATGACTAAGGTACGTTCATGAAACAATATCACTGTGATAGATATAAAAATGTTTAGGCTGTGATAAATTAGGGAACGATATGACCATGAAGTGTTTAGGATACGATATGATTATGATACGACACCTGTATGACAGATATATATATATATATATATATATATATATATATATATATATACACATTGTGATATAATATGAAAATGATATGAAATATTTTATGGTACGAGACAAGTGATAAGTGACATGTTTATGATATGATATATTGTGATGGTATATGTTATGGTATGATAGGTATGAAATGTTACATCTTTCCATGTAAAGTTATATGATGGATTATGTGATGTTTATCCATGTATGCGTGATACATACATGAAATATGATATGGAGGGAAGGAGAAAGGAAATGAAATAAATGTTATCTTATGAATAAAAATCATGGGACCTCATGCATGTATGTATGTCATGTGTATCAGGATACTTCCCCGTTATGTTATGTTCGTAGGGATGAATACCTTCGATATTTATGTTCGACATGTTATCATGAAGACCTTTTCTGTTATGAGAGTCCAGTGACGTGTATTGTGTTGTGCCCGACAAAGTCCGGCCTAAGGGGCACGTATAGATGTCTGATGGGTCCATGTATGCGTACGTGGGCCGTGTGTAGAAAAGTACCATGCATCAAACTCTGGCAAGAATTGAAAAAATCTGAAGGTCATGGTATGGTTTGAACGATAGGTCACAGTCATATATTGGGTGTGATTGCTTTACTAACCGAATAAAATAACTTTACACGATATAAGGTGTTTGCCAAACTAGTTGTGTTTGTATATCCCAACACCTTTTTCGCCTTTATAAAAAAATTTAACAGCACCCCTTTATAATTAAATATTATTTTGTATTT